TCCTTGTGGCTTTAGAGCTCTTGCAGGTGCAGTGACAGCCGTTCCTTGTATTTTCAGGAACATGGTTATCTTCCGTAACGTGGTGGATGGTGAGCCTTTCTCCAACTGGTGGGACAACGGCAGCAATCAAGTAGCTTTTGGCCGTGGTAATAAAGGCTTCATCATTTTCAATAATGATGACTGGTAAGTGAGAAATAAATTATAACATTATTATTATGAATAATTTATTATTTATAAATCTAGTGATTAATAGTGAAAGCTTTTAAGGTGTTGTTAGCTCCAACAAATCATTGTAACAGGTGCATCCTCTGTCTCTCTTTCTAACAATTTAAAGTTATCATTCTCTACTCTACCAGGAACACTCTTCACTCTTGACAGTTAGGCCTTGTACTCATGGTCTTGCTGTTTCCCATTTCTGAAGTTGGCTGTGTCACTGAGCAGGGTCAGCCACCGAAGTGTGAACTTATAGAAATGAGAGAACTTGCAAACTTGAGAATGTGGTCTAAAAGTGACAGTTTTAAAAACTGTATTGCAATCTTTCACAGAAGAAGGAGATGATAAGAAAACTGAGTGTGTCAGGCCTGTAATAATTAGAAGCGGGTTGTGGTGATGAGCAATTTGAAGGATGTAGTGGTTGAATAGATTCTGCAGTGTCCAGAGAAGTGCTGCAGGATAACTCCAGAATTACCTAACGTCTGAGAAGGTCTCCAATATGAGTTGCAGGGCATTTTAGAGTCCACATAATCCTTACTGCATTTCAATCTTTTCCGAAGGTCTTTGAATGTAACTCTGCAGACCGGTCTGCCTGCTGGCACCTACTGTGATGTCATTTCTGGGCAAAAGGAAGGTGACCACTGTACAGCAGTTGAAGTTCACGTTGCTGCTGATGGCATGGCTAATTTCCTGATTGGTAATGAGGACGAAGACCCGTTCATTGCCATTCATGTTGATGCTAAATTGTAACTAGATCCGTTGTGCACCTGTTGTTTCTTCTCTTCTGTGTTTTTGCTAAGACCGTACAGGTGGGCTGAATGTCCTGGCTTTACAGCACCGAATGAACCAAGGTAGAGCAAAGTGTATTAGGTAATACTGATGAAATACTGAGCAGCTGCTCTACAGAGACAGGAGCTGTTGGTGCCAGTGCACATCTGGGAGTGGTGCTATACACTTTAAGTGTGCTTTATTCAGTTAAAGTACTAGTACAAAATGAAAGGAGAAAATTGAACTTAATTTAAAATGGTGGTGCTCCGTGCACAAGTGGAAATGTAGTTCTCTTTAGGGGCAAGTGGGACTGGGAATTGACAGGATGTCCAAAAACCAAGAGAAGACGCTTTTGTGCTGAAACAAGGCACAATTCAAATTGCTTCCAAGTAACAGATCATTCAGTTGAAAATGTGTTACTTCTGTTGGTCTGTACACTCTCTGTATCTAGTGAATAAAAAATGGCATTCAAATCAAGTCTGTCCCTTTTTTGTGACAAAGACTTGGCCTGGGTCAGAGGAAGCTGGCCTGTGCCAGTTACTTATTCCTGCCTTTGGCATCAGTCAAGCCCGTGTATTACCTGGTTCACAGTCAGCTTGTGCATGTACAGATCTGAAACTTAGTTCTTCCATAGTTACCCCAAAATTGACTTGATCTCCATTACTGGTGCCTATAATAAATCACCAATAGGATGTTAGGCATTCCCAGTCACAGAAAAGGAATATATGGGTTGAAACCAGCTAAAGCCCATTGCTACCTACAAAAACCCTTTTGTTAGTTTTTAATTTTGTATGATCTCTGTTATACAGAGCCGTGTGTACACTCTTTCCCATGCTGGTCTGGCTAAACCAAGGAGACGTTCACACCCTTTTAATTAGCTGTGGGATAAACAGTTGCATTATCATCTGATGCACTCAATTGACTTAGTTGTTTATCTGAACCATCACCAGCCCTTTGTGTGTTAAATTAGCATTCTCTGCAATGCCCTTGGACGGTCAGTCACGACCTGCACAGCCTGTGGTGTGAGGGCTCCCAGTCCCCTTTGCCAGGGGGTTTGCCATCCACTGCATCAGGCTAGTAAGGATTGGTCCAGACTTTTCTTGGCTGACAGCAGCATATTTTTCAGTGGAAAATACATACCACTGGAAGCTGAAAGTCATGCAGTGACATGCCATCACATCAACGGAACCCTGCAGGGAATGGTGATGTAATAATTAACCTGAGGCACATTTGGTTGCTTTCAGTAATATTGAGGAAGAGGGGGTCTGTTCTCACTGAACTGGTAATCACAAGGTGCAATTGCTCACTGGTTCCTTGATGTTGGTGAGTAGGCAAGGTCATTTACAGTAATTTACTGTTTCATTACAGTAGTAGAAAAAGAGGCCATATAAGGTCTGTTATATGAAAATGAACAGGTGGACAAATGGGACAAATGCTTCTGTGTTTTGTACTTGAAGACAAATCCTGGGAAAGAGAAGGATGCATGTGACACATTGGCATGACTAGTTTCAGAAAGAACAAACATAGTGTGGTAGTTCAAGTACAAAGTGCACCTTTTTGCTAATTTTTTTTTTTCTCACAGATATTGATCAAATGTCAGGAATTTTATGGTCTCTGTATTCTCAGAGTGGTGTTGGTATGACTCAAGATTATTCATGGAGAATTGTTGCTGAGACCTTAATTTTATAAGTCAGTTCCTTATGAAGACCTGAAAGCATTTCATGAGCTGAAGTCAGAAGTTGGTGGGTTTTTTTAAAGGAGAAAATTGTAGGAAAAACCAAGAGGGACTTGGGCAACAGCTCTGGCTTTCAGATTCTGTTTTATGTCAACTAACACTCATCTGCAGTATCATTTACATCTGATTTTGGGTTGCGTTCCTGGACTAAGATGAATCATTGGTGATTTAAAATGAGATGAAACCTTATGCAAAGTTTCTACTGGAGAGGAAAACGCAGCTGTAATCACTTTCAGTCAGGTACAACCACAGCTATTCTGCACAACCAACTGTGTGAAGAAAACTGATAACAGTTCCTAGCAGGGACTGGGCAGTGACAATGGAGAAACACTTCAGATATGAAAAGGCATCAGTTTCTAATTACCGGTGATTCACCTGGGGAAGATCCACAGCCTGTTGTGTGATAGATCTGCTATTGACTGATCAGGCTGATCAGGTACCCTGGTTTGAACTCTGCCAGCATTCAGAGCATCCACCTGTCAGGATTAAATAAACTCAGTCATTCTCCTAGTGCTGTTAGATTTTCATCTTTAATCACCTCTCACTCCTTTTACCTTCCAGAGACCCCTTTCAGAGTCTATGTGTTATGTTTTGGAATACTTTTGATAAAGTATATTTGTTTACATGAAAGAGTACAATTCTGGATTTAGGTGCACTGCTCACAGAATGCTTAGCTTATGATAATCACTGTGGAAAGGTATTTTATCTTCAGCTGCTGGGCAAACCAGGAGAAACAACAAACCAAAGGAATGATATTGAGCTAGCTAACTGACTAATAACTGATAGCATTGATCCATGTGAGTTTTGACAGCTGCAATGGGAACTTTATCATCTTGCAGGAACATAAATAGCCTGTGGAGAGACCAGAGCGCCTTCAGCAGAAGGCACCATGCAAGTCCTCCTCCTCCTCCTCTCAGCTGTGGGGTTTTGCTGGGGACAGTACAACCCCAACACCCTCTCTAAGAGGACATCTATTGTACATCTCTTTGAATGGCGCTGGGCGGATATTGCTCTGGAGTGTGAGCGCTATTTAGCTCCTAATGGATTTGGAGGAGTTCAGGTAAGAGTAGTAGGAAAATGGCATTGTAGCATTTAATTAATAAATCAAAATGCCTGAGATGGAAAGAGCCATCTCCAAGTAACTTTGCTGTTGGGGAGGGAGGGTTGGAAGTACTATCTGCTGCTAGAGGCAACCCTAACAGGCCTACAGGGCCAATGATTTTGTATCTCTAGCAGATTGGGTACAAAGGGGCATGCCTTCCTCTGAAAGGCTTCCCCTGGCAGCTGAGTAAAAGATAAGACTCTTTGCCTTGTTCTGAGGGAAGAGCATAAGCATTGAGGTTTGGCTTTTCTAAGGCTGTCACTACTCCAGGTACAAATACTTCCTGTGGCCTCAGCCTTCCTGTGCATGTGCCCTTGAAAGCAGGTCCATGCTGGACCTGGGCAACCCACAGGAAAAAAAGAAAACCTCTCTCTTGCCAGTTTACAGGACACATATCTGACAGACCTGGGCTTCTGCTGTGGGAGAGAGGCTAGGTTGGGTGCTAGCCTGCCTCTGGGGGCAGAGATGCTGAGTGCAGGTTTTACCCTTAAAATGTTCAAATAAACCAGTTGATTTCTTATCATAGTAAAGTACATAATTTCATCTACAGGTTTCGCCTCCAAATGAAAATATTGTCGTTACTAACCCAAACAGACCTTGGTGGGAAAGATACCAGCCTGTTAGTTACAAGCTCTGCACTCGGTCAGGGAACGAAGATGAGTTCAGAGACATGGTGACCAGATGCAACAATGTTGGAGTAAGTGCCTTGAAAATCTGTATCTGATATGGCAACAAGCGCTGTATCAGGTGAGGGAAGGCACCGCTGCTTTCCTCAAGGGGGACATCTACCGAGAAAGAAACTGAAGGGGAAAAAAATCAACAGTGATGTGGTAAAGTTGTGGCTGTCACTTCATGATCACTACAAAACATACCGAAATGCTCATATTGCTTTTCCAGGTTCATATTTATGTGGATGCTGTTGTCAACCACATGTGTGGGGCTGCGGGTGGCTCAGGCACACACTCTACCTGTGGAAGCTATTTTAATGCTGGAAACAGAGATTTTCCAGCTGTGCCATACTCTGGCTGGGATTTCAACGATGGCAAATGTCATAGTGGAAGTGGAGAAATTGAAAATTATGGTGATATATATCAGGTAAGTTTGCCAAAAGTTTTGTTATTTTTCTTTTTTTCTCTCTTTTTTTTTTTTTTTTTTTTTTTTTTTTTTTTTTTTTTTTTTTTTTTTTTTTTTTTTTTTTTTTTTACCTGTTGTGTAATCTCTACAGTAAGACCAAACAAAGGATGTAGTTTCTCACAAAACCTGTGCTTAGTCACTTGACAAGTGAACGCGGTAGTGACCATAGGTACTAGCGGTGCAAAATATTCTAAGTAGTGAGGAATAAAGAACATATGTGTGGAA